ATGTGTTTGTAAGGTGTTTGGATCATGGAGGTGCTATCCTAACCAGGAAATGGGGCCTGGTGGGAGGTAGGTCAACGAGTCAACGAGGCCTGACCTTGCAGGGTGTATTGTTATTCTTCACTCCCACTCTCTGCTTCCTGTCTACTGGGAGATGAGCTGCTGTTCTGAGCCAAGTCCTTTGTCAATCCATTTCTGCCTTGCAGCCAATTAACTATGGACTGAGTCATCTGAAAACTATAAGCCAAGATGAACATTTCCATATTTAAATTTCAGATGCCAGTTATTTTATGCTGGCAATCAGAGAGTAATTAATACACATAGTTTCACTTAGTAAATATTATAGTCAGTAGTTGGGGCACAGGGTTAGTGAGAAAGTACTGATTGAATTTCAAAATGACTCTCACCTTATATGGCAAAAATTTTAAATTGTTTTGGAAGTAATATATCCTTATACAGCATTACATATTCCACAGAAACAGCTCAGCTTTAGAAAGATAAATAATTGCCATAATAGAATTTATCTAAGATGGTATTTCAGATGAAAAGTTCACAGGAATTTTCCATTATATAAAGCCATGGGGACAATTATGGCTAATTTGTGTGCATATATTTAATTAATATTTATATTAAGTATACAGGAAAATAACTTGTCATGCGTTGTTCATCTGTATCAATTTTATTTTATTTTGTTTTGTTTTGTTTTATTTTATTTTTGTACTTGGAATCAAACTAAGATCATTGTGCTTTCCAGGCACACACTTGGCCACTGGGCTATATCCCTGGCCCCTCAAATTCATTCTTTCTTGGTGACGTTAAAACAAAATTTTAATGGGATCAATATTTGGAAATTTATCTTTCTCACTGAGGAGAATTATGCAATAAGAATATTAGAATATTATACATTTGATTTCTCAATCATAAAGAAATGATATCATTGTCAAAATTGCATGAATGATGATTTTGGAAGCTGAGCCTGTATGATGATTTTGTTCACCATGGGCATATAGTAATTGAGAAGGGTTAGTTTACAGTTCAACATAAAGTTTTTCATGCTGTCTACCAGTTACTTTATTATGCAACAAAACCCACTAAACTTGCTTATATAAAATAATGTTTTTTATTTACTCATAATTCCATAGATTAGAGAGCTGGTTTTTCTAGTTTTGACCAGCAAAGTTTAATCTATACTGTAATACTTTATGCGTCTATAATTAACTGGCAGACTGGCCAGCTGATCAGATGTAGAATAATCTACGATGGCCTCATTCATGTCTGACATATTCGACCATTAGCACTCAGCTGGGTGCATCACTTCTTCTCTGTGTGGCATGTCATCTTGCAGAACGTACTCATTTATATGATGCACAATTCCAAGTACAGCAAAGAGCAAATCTCAGTGTCGAAGTTCTCGTCAGTGTCTGCCTGTGCACATTTGATAAAGTGCCATTCACCAAGCAAGTCATAGTATACAAGGATAGAAGCAAGTTGGGGAAGGGTTTGTTTGTTTGTTGAAAATCTGCTCCAGATCTGACAACTTATTTTATAAATTATCATGATTGCCAATCAACTTAGAAAAATTTGATAATGTCTGAGTACTATCATTAATATTGTGCAACAGGGCAGTATTTCATATGTGTTACTGTTTGTGATTGTCCCATCAGGTGGCATGGGACAGTTCTGTTGGGTTATAGAAGCCATCAAACACAATAATCTGTGTCTATCTCTAGTGGCTCAAGCCATCAGGGACGTGTTAAAAAACAATAATATATTGAAATTTTTCTCCTTGCTTATTTTTTAATTTAAATATTTGTCAGTCATATAATTTGCCATAGCTTATATAAGGTAAAAGAGCACAGTCTGTGTAAATTTGGTTTACTTTACCAACTTTGATATACCATTCACAGTTTTCAACTGAAATATGTGTAATAAACATAACTGAATAATTATCTCTTCAGTTGAAACTTAATTAACTGTCAAAACCATGGCTTATGACAAGGAACTCTGTAGTCTGGGTCAGGAAGACTTTCTCTTTACTTTTGTAATAGTCTCTATTACTGATGCATCTCACTCTTACCACAATGTTGTAAATCGTCAGTTAGGCAATACCTCCTTCAAAATCCCAACTTTTACCTCCAGTACAATTTGAAAATTCTCCAGTGAGAATCTTAGTGAATATATCATTATGTCTTCAGAATAACACAATACTGTAAACAAACAAACAAAAAAAACAACAACAAAAAAAAAAAAAACAAAAAAAAACCTTTAAGTAAACAAATGAAGAAGAGTTGAATGTAGGTCATTCATCATATGGAATTTGTACCTGTACATGATATATCTTGCTTCTTTTTTTCTCATTTCCCTCCCCTACCTTCAGTCTCTCTTCCCTCCCCCCAGGTTGGGAGGACAACCTGCTATTTACCTAAGTGTTTCCAAACTTTCTCACTCCTGGACTTGATCTCTAAATGTATTTCTTCACCTATTAAAGCCTGTCTTTCCAACCTATCCATATACTGGTTCAGTTGCCCCTATTACTCTGTGATTCCCTATCACATAGAGTTCTGTTTTCTCATACTTGATTTTTGATCCAAATACCCTTCTTCAGGTTAATTATATCACCTATTAAGAGCTTCTCAGTGAACTGTACCTCTTGATCCACTCTGCCTACAATTCTCTCTTTTTTTCCTTAATGTATCTAGGCCATCTATATTAGAAATTATATCCAACTTTCTCTGCCTCATTTCTGTTGTGCTCTTTTTCCATCATTAGTTGTCTACTTGTCTTCTTCATTTAGCTTTTTGCCCCATTCATTGGGGCCTCTCAGCCACAGTTTCTGGAATCCTGGTGCTTTTCTCTCTCTTTAGAATGTCCTGCAGTATTTCTGTAGAGTTGGATTGGTGGCTGTAAATTCCCCCAGTTCCTCTTTATCTTGGAAGCATCTTGTTTCTGCATTAATTTCTAGAGACAATTTTTCAGGGGTACATCAATCTGGGCTGGAGGTTATTTTCTCTCAGGGCTTGGAATACTTCACTCCATGCTCTTCTCGATTAGATGGTTTGTGCCAAGAAGTCTGCCATAATTCTGATGGGCTTTCCCTTATAAATAATCTGTTTCTTATCTCTGACAGCTTTTAATATTCTGTTCTTATATTGGATTTCTGGGATCTTGATTATTATATGCCTGGGTGTAGTTCTGTTTTGGTTGTAGGTGGTTGGAGTTCCGTATGCCCATACATCTGAATATCATTTTCTTCTCCTATATTTGGGAACTTTTCCTTGACTATTTCTGTGAATAGCCTTTGTAGTTCCTTCGTTTGTACCCCTGCTTCTTCACTCACATTCTTTATTCTTAAGTTATAAATCCTCTTGTCATCCTCTAGCCTTTGTATTGTTACTGCTTTTTTCCTTATTTTTAAGAAATTTTTCCTTTCATGATCCCACATTGCAAACCTGTCCTCCAGCTCAGATATAATCTATCCTTAGTTTCTTTCAAGCAGTTTTTCCAGTTTTCAATGGAGTTTTTAAATTTCCTGGTAATCCTTTGAACCAGTTTCGTGTATTCTATGTTTTCTCTATTTTCTTCATCAAGCATTTGTCCCCCTTTTTTGTGTTCCTCCATTCTTCCATCTGTTTTTTCTTGAGAGGTGCTTATCATTTCTTTTATTATTCTATTACATCTTGCTATACTTGGTTAAATACTTCACTTTTGAACTCATCTATGAGGTACCAAAGATATCGCTTTATGTCCACTGGTGCTGTCTGATACTGCATGTTTGCCATTCTCAATCTCCTTTGCATTTACCTTTCCAGGATCAATGTTCTCCGGGTTGGGGGCTAGGGACCCTTTCTTGTTGCTTCTTCTTCTCATTTTTTTGTTCCTTCCATACAGGTGTATATAGGAGGTCCTGGTTTCTTTCTTTGTTGGTTTCAGTTTGTCTGAAATGTATTGACTAGGTGCTTCTGCCGACTGCAGTGTACTTTGGAGGTACAGAGTGGGGCAGCGTATGCTGGGCCCTCCCCTCCAGGTCAGTCAACCTGTTGAGGGCTTCACTGCATTAGGGTGCACTGCCAGGCATAGGGACTTGGTTTGGGCTAGCCTACTGGGTCTCAGTCTGGGGCGTGACCCAGGTCAAGCACTCCCCACGAATCCTTTTTGGAAGGGAGCAGCTGACTGAAGTCACTGTAGCTCCTTGTTCTTGCCAGTCTGTCCAGTCTGTCCAGTCCCAGAATGTTGTCTGTTGGAGCCCCTTTTTTTTTTTTCCTATGGAAATAACCATCACTCACCACAGGTTGATGCAGGTTTCCTGCTATCTCAGTTCTCTGTTTGGTTCACTGACAGTGACTTTCCAACTTCAGACTTGGAGGCAAATTTTCTGTAAGAAGATTAAGTATCAGTATTTTCAAATGTTGGCAAAGTGTTACTTAAATCCCACTGATTCACAATTTCATGTGATATACATGGAACTCAACTTTTTTATCTTTTACAACACAGTAACAAAATTATGCAAACTGGACTACCATGAATAAAGGTGTTATGAAATGCACATGTTCTTGACAGGGCATAGGTCATGAAGTGGTTTTTCTTTAGGAAACAATACTCCTAAAAACAATATAGGAATAGAAGTCATTTAATATAGCCAAGACATCCCAAACACATGACTGTGATTCCAAATTGCCACTTAGTATGCTTTCTATTGCAGGATACAAAACTAATGCTCACCTCTGGCATGTTAAGCTGACACCCAAGATAGTCACAGCCTGCCATAATTCAGAATCCCACTATTTTCTGTTTGTACCAAAAAATAACCAGCAAATGATTTAACTTTTTAAAAAATCATTTAAACTTAAAAAAATTAGGGCGAGGTGGGATTCCTTACTTTTCATAAATGTTTGCAGAGTTACTAAAATTTTGCATTTACAAAATACTTGATAACAATATTCCTCTGGATTGTACAAGAAAGGAACCTGGGGCCACTGATAAGGCCTGGTGTGTGGTTAATCAGACTAGGCATCTTTCTCTTCTGCTTCGTCAGAGGCTGAGCTCACCTTGTTTTTCGATTCTCCATTTTTGGCAGGTGAGCCTTGGTTGGTCTCTAGATTAGGCACTTCAGATGGTTTTTTCTCCTCTCCCCTTTTCCTTTTTGCTTGCATTTTCTTGTCCAAAGATTTATCCTTTCCTTCAGCCTTTCTTGGCTTCATTTCCACTTTTTCAGGAGCAGGTTTAGGGGACAACCTTGCAGATCTCCTCTTGGACTCCTCCTTCGCCATCCCTTTGACTAAGCTGACCTCCCTCTTAGGCATCTTGGTGACATGGAGAGCACATGTGGAAGCCTCAGACCGGGGTACACCAGAAGGTGGTGGCTCTGCCTCTCCTCCCACCACCAGAGCTGCTGGCTGTGTATTATATCTTAATTGTTTTTTATTCTAAAATAATTTTGTAAAAAAAAATGATCTCATATATTTTTTCTCTTACAAATATAAGCATCATCTTACTTTAAATATTTTAATGTATTGCCTATTTTATTTCTCTGATTTCTGGATTCACTGTACACATTAGAATCAAAATCAGTGTTTAAATGCTTGTTATAAAATCACTTCTGCATATTTTTGTTTCTAATAAGAACAATGTATATAATGCATCTGATTTTATTTCCTACTTTACCCCATTCAGTGCATTTCCTATCCTTTTTTATACTTATAGATACATTCCCATTTTAATTTTTATGCCACAGTTCATATTATATTGAGTTTTACTAAAATGAAAATATGCTTTACAATACTTAACTTTTGTATTTTGTAGATAAAATTTTCTGTTAAACCTCAGGTAGACTCTCGGTCACTTACTTTGATGAATTTTTTACCAAGTATCATTTTTCTATATCTCATTTAATTTGATTTTGGAGGAGGTAAGACGGCTCACATCAACACACAAAACACAAAAATAGATGACACATCATTCTTTGTGTTATTATCTGCCTTGTTCAGCTGAATCCTTAAATAATTTTCCCCCTAGATTTTAAGTTCTCAGTCTAGTTGAATTACACACCACAAACGAAATACAATCACAACATTTACAGCTATAATTTAGCTGGTGTTACCACTGTTGCATTGAAAAGGATGCTCTTTGTCTTATGTTTGATTCACTGTATACACAGATCACTTAATTTAAAATTATTATAAGCAATTTAGAATTATCCTCACTCAAGTTTACCTCTTGGGATCCTGATCCTTTATCTTTTCTTTAAGTGATTTCATACTGTCTCAGGTAGTAGTAATAATCTAGTACATTAATACATAGACAACATATTTCTATTCTGAATATATACACTATTGAAACAGGCAATATATATGTCAATATGTTAGTTCACTGACAGTTCACTGAGAACAAATTGCTGTGCCTGCTTTGTACCCTAAATATTGTAAATTGTGAAACTATGTTCTTAATCCTTTCCTCATTAAATACATTTGGCTGCTCCCATAACAATGTGGTAGGAATGCAGAGGATGAACAAATATAATCCCTAAAATTTTCCTCATGTCACAGTGCCTTGCTATGCTGTGTGTTCTCAAACTTCCATTAATGCTGTGTTTTAGGATTTTCTTCAAAGACTCAAAATTCCCTCAAAAAATATTTCTAGTTTATAAACATATGACAACCATTATAATTGTGATAAGATTGTTGTAATAATCATTATAATATACCTTGTATGGCTTGTTATTTGTTGATATTCTTTTCTAGTCTGTAATACAATATTTTGGAAAAAAGAAAATTTTGAATAAGATATTCCATCTGTTTATCAAACAGGTCTGCAAATAAGAGTCTTTTAAAGGGACAAAATAACTACAGTGTGGAAGACTGGGTAATGGTAGGTGAAGGTCAGAGTTTCACTGAAGAATCCGCTGCAGACTCTGTACCATGAGATGGAAGTGAGGAATAAAAATGGATAATTACTGTTTTGAAACATTTCCTCAATAAAGTATCACATGATCACAGTACTAGGTTTAGTCATTGCATATTTTGAACTTTGCTGCCAGTTTCTCCATTTTTATAGCTATCTTCCTGAAAATATTAGAGTAACTTATTTAGGTAGCATAATTGTTCAAGTATTAAAAATAAACTCAGAATCTTTCTTCAAATAATTAACATATTAGAATGTATCCTTTTCCTAATATTAGAAAATAATCATTTACAATTTAATTTGCGTTAAAGAAAGAAAAATGCCTCTTTGCATCACATGTAAAAATTTCTATGTATAATTAAATGTGTAATTCAGTTGTCAAAAACTTAAGTTTTAGTTATAATATTGAGCATTTTGTGATTAAATTATTGCATAGGTCATGGAGCAAATACTTATGACTATAAACTCAGTCCTTGACCTCTTGTTTTACAAACTTATGCCCTTAAGATGATATAAATGTTATTTTGGATATTTAATTTTTTCTTAAATAGTAAGAAATGTGGCAGAGGTTGTGATAAATGCCTTAAAAGAGATAACACTTTGTAGAATAAGAATATTTTATATTATTCTTCATTGTGAACAGTGAAGATATTTTGAAAGTTAGAAATTTAGCTTGTGCCTTATGACTTTCTAAGATACTAATGTAAATATTGTAGCTATCTTCAGAAACTGAAAATTATTTTGATAATTGGTTGTTAATCATAGATTTATGTTTCTTGGTAGTGGTTATTAAATGAATCTGTATTATAAGCTTTAACAATCTAGACTTTTTTGGTATAATCAGTAGAATAACTAGTTTTAAGTTAGGGAAATATCCTATTTTCTCACATGTCAAAAAGTATTTTATACCTTCAAGTGCTGTAATCTGAACTACTAGAAAACTTTCTGGCATTATTGTCTGACAGTAATTATTAAATACATTAGCAAAGCCTAATCAGATTTCTAAATATCACACATTCCATTTGGCAAAATAATGGAACACATAGCCACTTTGTTTCTTATATCTTTGTTACACATTATGTTTTTCTATTTTAAAATCCTGTATTTAAATGGTCTTTCTTGAATTTCTTCATTGATTTACTGCTCCTGCTCTCCTTCCCTGTGGTGCGTTCCCATCTTTCATGTCATACTCTGTGTGAAGACAGCATTTTTTTACTCACCAATTGATTGACACTTCAATCACTTTTGAAATTTTCTCTCTTAAGCACTTTCTGGTGAAGAAGATCTTTAGGTAGAGGATTTAACAACAACCAAGTGTCTATCATTCATCAGTCACTACTGCTGAAATACTTCCCTGAGTTGGATATATGCATGAAAAATTGTAGCACATAAACGAAGACAGAATAATTGTGATTTTTAAGGATATCTTCCCAAAGCTCATTTCAGATTCCTAATAGCCTAAGCTGTAGTGTGCCAATATTATAATAGATGCAGCCTAAAACTGGTACTGATTGCTTGTTTTTGTCCTTTTTTCACATGATGCTTAGATATAATGAAGTTTGAAGAATGTTCCATCTATTGAAAGCCAACAGGCTGATGTTGAAAATGACTTCCTTCAACCCAAAGTCCAGAGGATGCCTGGCTGCCTATCCTAGGACTCCTAGCATAGAGAAAAGATGTATCTGTAATCATAGTATTTTCCTGGTCATACAATTTGGTATTTACCTTCATAGTAAAAAATCTCTAACAATTATATGACCTAAAAAATCCTACTTCTGTTCCGCAAGTCCTCTCTTCATAGACCATCCTACCTTTCTTTCTAATCTTAAACAGCCAGTCTTACTCTTTCTCTCTCTCAGACTCTGCTTCTTCTCCTGCTCACTCCAAAATGATCACCCTAATAATGTTCTCCTAACCCACCCCTTCACTACCTTTCAGTCTTTGCTCAAGGGATGTCCACTCTGACTATCTCAACCATACTAGCTCCGCCCTGACATAGCTCCTCCTGTTTTCTTATACTTTTTAAAAATTTTACAGTGGAGAAGAACAAAAAAAAATTGTTTGAAAATTTTACCTGGATAAGAAGTAGTCAGTGTGTTTTGAACCTTCCAAAACTGTCAAAGGAGAGACCACCTTGGCATTTAACTAAATTTTTCCAAATGTGAGTCATGAAAGAAAGATTGAGCAGCAAAGATAGTAAAATCTGTCAAATGTCAGGAAATGAATTCTGATCAACTTTATACTTTTGTTCATGAATAAGATTTTTCCTTGTTACATTTATGTGGCAATTAATTTTTGTGAGATATTTTTATTTTTCTTTATCTTTTTATTTTCCAAATAAGCTTTTCAATACTATTTGATAACAAGTTTTTAATTGTTTTTAAACTGGGTATCATGGCACACATCTGTAATCCCAGCACTTGAAAGGTTGGGGCAGGAGGATCACTGTGAGCTCAAGGCCAACCTGGACTACATATCAGGATCTTGTCTCAAAAAACAAATTTAAGGGTTGGGGCTTTAGCTTAGAGGGGTAAGTGCCTGCTTGGCAAAAGCGAGATCGTGAGTTCAATCCCTGGTACAAAAAAAAAAAAAAAAAAAAAAAAAAAAAAAAAACATAGTTGTCTTAAGTGATGAATTAAATCCACAAATATTTATGGGAATCCTCATAGATATTTTATATTGAAATGTTTAATCAGTATTTTTTCCAGAAAGAATCTCAGTATTTTAAATATTATGCTTTTATAGATTTCATGGTAGAGGTTATTTTTCCTTGTCTTCTAACAATATTTTGACTATTTTTGTTCTTCTTTAATTGAGAAATTTATAATCAACTCCTAAATTCCTCAACATAAAAAGTTGTTAAACTTTTGATTTAAATTGCATTAGAGTGCACATAAATTTAGGAACATTTGTATGCAGATGGTAGTATACCTCTCCTCACCTGTTTAGAACTTCTTTGCAGTGCTTACACATGACAACATTGTCTTGGTAGAACAGTTACTCAGTTCATATTCAATTTCTTTTCTCATTTATTTCAAATGGTTATTGCTATTATATCAAGAGACTTTTACTGTACTCTATTTGAATTGATTTCCCATTTGGTCTCATCATCAAACCTATCAGTTTGTAAGAATTACTGAATATTTTATACAGAATAAAAGTTTTAGTTTTACCAACATTTTATTGTTGGATCTTTTGAAATCATATTTCCAATATTAATATAGACAATTGAATGAATTGTCGTGTTGTATTCGGAAGCATGGCTACTTCAGTTATTCATTTTTTAATGAATTTTATTAGGACTTTTTCATCTTTTTAACAAATCCATTTATTGTTTTGAAATGAACAGAATATATGTCAGGATCCAACCAAAATACAGAAATCATGCTATTTAATTCTAAGT